ACGTAAAGTATTTATGCACGTGAGTTGGTTATGGTGTTGTACATGAGTAGGTTGATTCATGTTTATAGATTGAATAGAGAACTTGGACGATCAATCCCAAAATCGAATATTCAATATATCCTTAACCTTGTATAATATAATTTGGGACTTTCAAGATGGTAATGATATGATTTAGGATTGTGATAGTTCCATGCATCCTGAAAAAAATATTGTATAGAGTATCTTCAGCTTTTAAGTATGAACTAAGTAATAACAATATGCTAGGAGTCTAGCCCTTTGATCATTTTTGCTTTCCTTTTAAAGAAAGTATATTGCACTTGTTAACTCATTGCTTCACGCATGCACTTTTTTTACTCGAGTTATTAAGTCGTTAGGGGTTTCTTAAGAACTGGTACCCTTTGGTATTTCAAAATCGGGGAGTTACCGACTAAAAGTTCGCTACAGGGGTGAAGAAGAGAAAGAAATGGTGAGGTTAATCTTGAGCTGAAAAAAAAAAGACAATATGAAAATAAACGAAAAAAATTGTGCAATTGTGAAAAAATGTTGAGGGCTTAGATATCTAGTAAGTTTGAATTACTTAGTATAATCTTGATTATCGAAGCACTCATAAATTATGAGAATTATTAAATGGCTTGAATTGTTGACATTGCCGGTCAAAATAAACCAAAGTTGAGTGGTGTAAGAATTTAATATTGAAAATTAACTTTAAAATACACTTTGAGAAGTGAAAAGAAAATAAGTTTGGGGGTGTATGAATCTCACGAGCGAAGTAAGGAAATATTTGACTTTTAACTCGGGAATTAGATCAACTTATTATTGTACAGCGTTGTACTTAACTCTCTCTCCACACATACACACACACACACACACCCCGTTTTGCATTGAATATGTGAAAATTTAGCTTGGGCATTATAACTTTGAAGTGATTCACGAAATTGATGTTATGTTTTCAATCTTGAGCTATGCAGGTAAGATACCTAGCGGAATGTGTTTTAAGTAATTTTATTTGATTTAGTTTTCATTTGAAGGTTCATTAGTTATTTTCTAGAGTTTTGTATTTGCTCGAGAATAAGCAAAATACTAAGTTTGGGGGTATTTGATGAGTGTTTTACACTCATGATATTTATGTCACTTAATTCGTTATTTTGTTATCCTTGAGAGAGTTTTAGAACGTTTTAATGTGTATTTTGATATTGCGATATAGGTTGATGACATTGAAGGAAATAAGTAAGAGTTGGCAAAATTGGAGAAAATGACTAAATTGTAAGAGATCCAAAGTTCGGGGACTAAAGTGAAAATACTCAAAAGTTTTGTCAGACCTCAAAATGAAGATTCGAGAGTATTTGGAATCAATTGGA